GAGGTGGAAGAAAGAGCGGTTCTTGATTTCTTTTTCTCCTCTTTTCCTTTTAGCTACCCTGCAGGTTCCCCAAGAAAATATTTCTTTGACTTGCTTAACCATATAATATATATATATATATATATATATATATATATATAAAGAACAATCAAGATTAGATGCATAAATACTATTATAACATTCTTGATAACATATATGAATAATATAATATATCAATGGATCGTATAATATCCATGTACATCTCTATAAATATTTGATTTTTATTAGATATCCTATGTATTAGATATATTTGATTTGACGACACAGATGAAAAATCGGTGGCGCAAATGAACAGCAATATTGGATTTTTTTTGTCAAAAATTTGAATTACATTCACCCATATTAAAATGCTATGTTTCTTTTGAAAAAAAATTATGAAAATCCCTTTCTTTACTCCAAATTTGTAATCGTACATAGTATAAGACGTCGCATGAATTAAAAAAAAAATTATAGTGACGAATCTCTAAAGAAATCAAATCCTTGATTAGTCGGCGTCCAAACAAAGACTTTTTGAATGTGTGAACGTACATACACACATATATGCCTGCGTGCACGTACGCGTGTGAACATATTATGTATTTACATTTGTGTAAGTGGAAAATTAGGGGGAAAATATTATAAAAGAATCGAATTTGGGGTGGTGGCGTTAGTGTGTGGATGACGAGATAAAATACGATTTAATATTATATTCGATTACGAAGAGACAATGCATGTCTCCCTTTACGTGCAATGCATGGGTCCCTCGTTTTCCTCGGTATCATGCAATAGAGAACGATAGTACGTTGAGGACATTTTCGTCATTTTCCTCCAATATTTTTTGGAACATTTTTAAATATACGTAGTGCCATGTATATGTATACATGTGAAATAAATTTCCAATTTAAGCGGCACACAAAATTTTGTTAGTATAGGGAGGTGATATTTTTTTTTTACTTTAACGAGCTTTGTTATGAACCAATATTTGGCGTTACCTCTTGTGACAATTTCATAATAATTTCAGTATGAATTAGTTTTCCATATAAAAGAATAAAATAAAGATTTAGGCTTTTATATACACTATTTTTAATTTTTTGAAATAATACTATTGGCATAAAAATTAATTTCTTCGGAATTCTAACACGTACTCTTTCTTTCACATGATGAGATCAAAGATGAGCTTATAATTTTCAAATGTATTTATAAGAGTTTAATTATCTTTTTTACAACTATTTTGTATATCTTTTTTTATCTAATATTTTTTTTAGTAAACCACATAAAACTATTTGGATTTACCTATTTTACTTTAACACTCACATTTAAGGAAAAAAAATTGTTCAAAGATTTTCGAATTGTTTTTGTAATTTATGAATTCTGTGACGAGAACGCGTGATATAGATGTCTGTCGATCGAAGAGATTAGGTTTTAAAAAAGAAAAAAAAATACTAATTAGAGAAAATAAAGATAATAGGGAGAGAGACTAACAAGAGAAAAATAAAATAAAAAAATGGTGAGAGAGAAAGGAATGGTTGGATTGATTGGACATATATATAAATATGACATTAACTGTAGACCATACATGCCCCCTTTTCTGTTCAAACTTTTTTTTTTTTTACAATTTCGCATAGGCTTACCCGAAATAAAAAATAGTTAAAAATTATATTACGGAAAAATAAAAATATTTATTTTATTTTATTAATAAAATATATAAAGTTTATATTTTTATTATTAATTTTTCTATATTTATTTTAAAATTAAGAATAATTTTTTTATAATAAAATTAAGATTAATTTAGTAACACTGAAACACACTTAACATAATTAATATAATATTATTAATATATAATTAAAACTTGATAAACATAATATTTGTTATGCATCATTTACGATAAGATTATTCAAAAATACTATTATAATAATAATAAAAAATCAACCATTCATTATTAAATAAACTCACAAAAAACCCCAATATCATACGAATATATATACTACAAAAAATAGTAGCTTTAAATGCATAAACTTTGTATGCATTTCCATATGACTTCATAATATGTTTTTTTAATGGTGACTTCATAATATGTTGCTATGAAAAATCAAGATTTTAATTGAAATTACTATTCGATTTATTAGAGATATATATGTATATATCCCTAATATAATTTGATTAAATTTTCGACAAGGACGATTCCGGCAATTCAAATTGGTTATTTTTATTGATATTTTAGCACGTGGATGAAGTTGAGACTGCATCCATGTATTTTATTTTAGTAAAATTTTAATCTCTAGATTTGTAGGATATATATTGGGTGTATTTACATATTTATTTTATTATATAAATCAAATGCCATTGGAACCTGCGATCTTGTCAAGGACGAGTGTTATATATATATATGCATTCTGTGAACATAATTATGGTGTAATGATTAGTACTTGAAATTCTACTTGACGTAGAAGACGTAAATATTACGTCATGCCAATGTTAGTTTTTTTATTAATTCTATATTATTTTAATTAGAATGGAAAATGTTGGAACAAAAACACAAGAAAACAAAACACATGGCACTTGCCACCATACTGTTTTGTTTTCTTTGTTATGCTTTTGAGGTGATATTAAACTTATAAACTTCACCTAAAGTTTAGGGTTCTCAATGGTCAAGAATGGTGGACCTACGAATCTTTAATTAGCCACAAAAATCGAGAAAATATATTAATTACAGTAATATAGGTAGTGGGTTCATTAATTTGAATCAAAACATTACAAAAACGGATGTGAAATCGTTGTCTCAACGTCTTGTAATGCATTTGTCATGATGTCTTGTACATTTAAAAGCATAATATGACCTTATATTATGTTATAGAAATTTTATTAACAGTTGATTCTTTTTTCCTACCCAGTTATATATCAAATAAATTAATATAACTTTCCCATCGAAATAATCAAAACAAATATAATTAAAAAATTCATAAAAATAGTTAAGTTACATATATATATATATATATATATAATAGATTTATCAATTAGTTTTGAAAGAGATAATGTTCTCTCAAATCTAAGTACATAATGAATATTTAAAAAAAACACAAGCGTGCTTATATTAATAAGAAAATCTATCATCTGAGAAAATATTTTTTTAGTATTCTGTCTTGTACATCCGTATGTATATCAGTGCAATATTTCCGTACGTATTCTCTCTTGTATTTCCGTGTATATATATATATATATATATATATATATATATACACGTACGTATGCCGTATGGGAACTATATTGCATGGAGACCACAAAATGGATGGTGATAAGTCAGAAATTGGTTTTGACATTTATCGAAAGGTTGATATAGGGCGAAAGAGGAATTGGTCCAAACATGATCTCCCAATTTGAAACACACTTTCTTTTCAAACCCCTAAATCTCTCTCCCTATTTTCCTTCATATATATTATCATCTCACACACACATATACATACACATACATCCTTTATATTGTCACATCCACTTCACAGTCCTCACTATATATGCAATTAATTTTAAATTTTACCATGTTTCACATGACACATAATCCCATTTTTTAAAATAATTTTGTAAGCTAATATTTTTTAAATTTTTTCTTTTAAATCCATTTTGTTATTTATCTATAAATAATATAGTTGATGACAACCAAGATAACTGTTTTGAAAATATTTAATCTGCCACTAATACATCATATATATATATATATATATATATGTGTGTGTGTGTGTGTATATATAATTTTTCAATCTTTTTTCTAGTGTTGCCTGCACAAAAAGTGAAAGAAAGTATATTAAAATTTTGAAATTGATATTGTTGTCTATTTGATTTGTATTTCTCTATTTATTAAGATATGTATTGTAAAGAACTATATTATATATTACAATTTAAGTTTATAGTTTGGTGATCAATAAAACACGTTCGATACCATTTATTTATTTGAAATGTTGAAATAAATAGAAAAACTTTAGAATTGAGATGGTAGAAAATATATATCACATTGCAATTCTCTATTTACACTAAAGGAATCCCTTTTACTTAGATTTTTTTTTTTATATAGTCACCTTCTAATGGAATTATATATTTCATTTTCTTTTTACACGATATAATATAACTAAAACCATCTATAAATAAATAAATACCGGTCAAATGAAATTTCATTTTTAAAACCTTTTCCTCGACATAATGATGGCCACAGTGTAAAAAATAAAACAACCACATGATTAATGACAACGATAATAGTAATTATTATATAATAATGAACAATTAAACAGTTTCCTCGTAGAACGAACCACATTTGCCATGCAAATAAGTCAAAGTCAGAGACTATCTGTTACTTTGTAGAAGAAAAATAAGTTTATATATGTGTGTATATATATATAGCATTTTAACATAAGTACAATCCTAAATCTAATAGATTAAAAAAACATAAATATTATATACAAAATCACATCTGTTAAAGCAAGGAAAGAGCATATTCAACATCTAGAAGGTTGGAATTGATAAATGGAAGGTTAGAGCTGAATTTGGAAAGCAAGCATGGAAAGAAGCAAGAAAAGGCAATAGGACATTTATATCGATGAAGAAAAGGCAAGACAAATATTGACAAGATATTACGACAAGCTTGGAGAGGAGTTGATATAAGCATGGAAGATTTCATTACAGAG